AAATATTCAGACTGAAATGCCAGTAAAGTTCAAATTCTTAGTTTTGGTGCACATAAACAGTAGCCAAGAAGTTAGTCAGAATATCTTTGTACCTTGCAAAATTGTTGTCCTCCTTCCCTGTCCCTTGGAAAGTAATTGTGGCAGCCAACAGCGAGTAGACTTTTCCTGTTCAGTATCTGAAATGGTATTGCTAAGGTGATATTTTTGTTTTTTTTAATCATCTGGCACTATAGAACCAGCATATTCTGTTACTTAACTTGAGTAATTCTGTTTGTTGTTACTAGAGATACTGTTGGAATTTAACAGTGGCCCTAAATGTTCCTAGTTTTGTGAATTGAGATCAGCTTAATTGGCTAGAAGTTAATATTAATCTCTTCACTTTGTACCACTGGCTCTCATCTGTTCAGCTTCTTTCAGGGTTGATAAAACTGCTTGAATGTGGATCAATGCACTGTGAAAGCTGGAAGAGGAAGGAATTGCATTCACTGAAGAGACTGAGAATTTCACCCGCCGTGCACACTTTCATCAGCACTGATCTGGAAGGAATAGTCTATTCCCAAAACTGGGGTCTTGATGACTAGCATTGTCCTGCCAATAGGTTTTTCTTTTCTTTAACTTGGCTTGTGATTTTATAAGAAAAACACAAGAGAACCAAAAATGATTTACCAATATATAAAGGAATAGACATTTAAAAAAATCCTCTTCAGATGGCTTCTGACTATAATTTCTATTCTTAGCTTAGATGACAGGTATATATGTACAGGGCTCGCCGAACCGCAGCAAGCCCCACTTGCCAGCCATGCTGTCTGGTGATCTGCGCATGCACAGATTGCCCGAACCCGGCTCTTCCGGGTTACAATCTACTCACCATGGGCAAGTAGATTGTATTATTTGTTGAGCCCTGTATATGTACATTTTGAAACAAACTGAAATTTTTGTGGTATTTTAAAAATTATGTACAAATTTATTCTAGGAGGCTGATGCTGTTTAGAACCTATACAGGCAGTCCCCGGGTTACGTACAAGATAGGGACTGTAGGTTTGTTCTTAAGTTGAATCTGTATGTAAGTCGGAACTGGCGTCCAGATTCAGCCGCTGCTGAAACTGACCGCCAGCTCTGACTTACATACAGATTCAACTTAAGAACAAACCTACAGTCCCTATCTTGTACGTAACCCGGGGACTGCCTGTAGTGAAATAAAATATAAATGGTTAGGCTGTTTCAACTGCCTTAGACCTCTAGGCTATAAAACTGCAGTATAGATGAGACAATGGTCCTACAATCCCTCTGATTTTTTCCATCCGTGTGAAAAATAAATTTTGTTATGTGCACTGCAGCATATGCAAATGTGCACCACTAGTAGAAACACATGCTGCTGTTGTGGGTGGTCTGCTAATCAGCTGGGCAGCATCTGAATCTCTCCTGGGTGACTGCCCAAACACATCGCTAATAGGGAGCACTGGTCCCAGATCCTGGGCTCCAGCCTCAGCCCTAGCATCTACGTTGCAATTTCATCCTCATGCCAGCCTGAGTCAGCTAACACAGGACACACTTTGGTGTTTTACTGCAGCATGGACACAATCAGTGTTCCATGTAAGCTATGCACTTGTGTGGCTGCTCAAGAGAGTCAGATACCACCCAGCTGATTAGCAAAGTGTCCATAGCAAGGTAGTGTTTCTCCTCGTAGTGCGCATTTTCACATGCTTCAGTACACATACAATTTATTCCACACGTGGATGAAAAAATTCTGTGCATGAATGGAAAAGATTAGAGGGATTATTGGACAACCTTTCCCTCTCTGCTCATAAAATGGGGATGATAATGTAAAGTTCTTTGAGATCTACTAATGAAAGACACTCTATAAAAGCTAGGCTTTTTGAATTTGCTAATCACAATAGCATATCAGTTGCAAACCTACAAATATCTTCTTAACCTGAAAATTCAGCTCTCCCTTAAAAATTTATTCTTGAGCTGAAACGCTGCATCAAGTTAGCAGTTCAGAATTTCTTTGTTAATATTGTATGAGATTATGCACAAATGCTGTGCATAATAAGAACTGGCTGGGTTCAGCTATTTTATAGAATAATATAATTGCCTATAGTAATGAAATCTAGGGCCTGTATAAGGCACATATATTTGACACGATCATGCATGGTCTGTGTTCTCAGCTGCATGTTAAACAGAAAGAAAGGTCCCTGAACTGAGGATCTGACAGATGTGTGAAAAAATTGAAGATCTGAAACCAATATACTCAAATTGAAGTTAACAATCATTGAGAACTATTCTTCTTTGAGGAATGTCCCCATGGGTGCACCGCTGTAGGTGTTTCTGTGCCCTGCACTTATTGTCGAATACTTTTAGCAGCAGTACCCTGGGTGCTGACACACATGCATAGGGCTGTCTCACTGCATAGCAAGCATACAGGCATGCGCGTTGTCAGCCATCTCAGTTTCTTCTCTACCACCCTAGGCTTGGGTTCGAACCCAACAGCTCTCTTCAACTATGGACCTCAGATGTGAGTTTTCCTATTTCCTCTCAATTATTTTACTTACCTGCCCTCCTCCCTCCACCTTTATTTTAACCTTAAAAAAAAGCCTTTCTTTTTGTTCTTGTACTTAATCCTCTGTACCAGACCTCCGGCATGCTGGACTGCCCTGGTTTCAAAAGATGCCCTCACATGCAAGCTTTCTATCCCTAATTTCTTAAAGCCATGCTCAATGCATTAGATACATGGGGGAGGATCATATACTGCAGAAATGCCACCACCACAAAAAAACCCAAAAAACCCTATCTGCAAGATCTCTGAAGGAATGGGACTGCCAAGTGAAGCTCCTCTTGATGGAAAAGTTGGTCAGACCAGCTTCAGAGCCGGAGTCCCATTCACCACCTTCCCAGAGATCTTCAACTGTGGCCTTGGAACAAGATTCCTGTTTACCACCTCAGGACCTTCCTGCCAAAAAAAAAAAAATTGCCAAGCAAGAGAACCTTACTTTGTCAGGCACCAATTGCCCTTAAAAAAGGGGGCCTTCAACTCATAAGCCTGCATTGGTATCAACAGCACCATCCTCATTGGACTGGCAGGTTCTGGGCACATCCGGTATAGATAAGTTCCAGGGAGCTTAGACTTCAAAACTGTCTTGCGCTGTGGTAGCCTCAACCTTTTAAGGCTAAAGGACCAACAAGGCACTGGCTGAACCAATGGTGATGCAATACACCACATCATCGGTACCTGCAGAACTCATGGTGCACACTATCACCAGACTGGTACCGATGATGCATGCAGAGTCAGCACCCGTACCAACCATGGTAATGCTGAAAGCCTTTGGCTGGACTTGAATGTACCATAGACAGATTTTGGAAAATTTGGGTTGGGAAATTAATTGTACGGGGATACAAGACAGGTCTGGCCATTATTTTCAAAATGCCTTCTAGATTAGAAAACTCAATAACTTTGTATGCTGGTTGTCTTGTTATATATGCGTGATCCAGAAGCCTGATTAGAAATTAGAGGATTGTTGACTTTGGCATTTGAGCTGGAATGAAGTTTCAAACTGAACTGTGGTAGCTAACTAGCCTTGAAGTGCTTGTCAATGGTAGTCATGGTACGACTTCATGAGATCTTTTAAGAGACCCTAAGGGAGGCCTCTTGTCTCTGACTATTGAGAGGAGAATCCAGCTATTAATTGAGTCTAGGCAGCGTGTGTATTATCCTGAAGTAGAATTAAGAGCATGATGTTTAGTCATATTTTATATTTCAGTACCATTGGGTATCCCAAAAAGAAGACATTTTCAATTAAAGAGAAGTTCTGCTGAATCCACTGCCAAAATGTTTTTCACCTTGAAGCCAAAAAATACAACCAAACACACATTCCTTTAAAGGATTGTGGGGGAGCCATATTTCTTTGTCATTAAGTGTAAAATAGACATATGATATCAGGCTTTTTAATGTTTAACAAATATGTAACATTTTGGTTTATGTAAGGGTTTTTATTTAGGAATTGGTATATACTGCAACGTGAGATGTCACTTTAAATTAACAGGAAACTTGAAGCTTCATAAGCATAAATTTAGTATAATCGTCAAATGGCTTATTTAAAAAGTAATTTTGAGCAAGCATCTAATAATCAGATGCACAGTAATTGCATTACAAAATTATTCTTTGATCTAGGTAACTTTAATGATATTACACTTTTTTGCTCTAATGGCGAATTACAGTGGAATTAAAAGGTGAAACTGTCTTGTGCAGTGTAATTTCACTGCATTCTGAATAAAATGGTTGGAATTATTCTGTTCAGACCTTAGTTTTTAATCAAGTCTTGATGAATGTAGATTATATTATGGGTAAGTAGTCTATAGAGGTACAAGAGAAAGTACAGTTTTATTTTGATGTATAGATTTTTATATGCAGGTAATCTTTACGCCCTAAGACTTGATTTAAATGGATGATGGTTTCATCTCTTTTACCTAACAAATATTATTCAGATTACTTATCCAAAGAAAACATGAAAAAGTGAGCATATAGAATGTGTTAATTTCAAATACATCTCAGAGCTATAATAACTAGTTCAGTTTTCAATATCTGTTGGTGTTGCCCTGGGATTGCTTTTGTAGCTGAGTCTGAAGATGCGTTAAACTATCAGTGTCTTCATAAAATACAGTTCTCTTTGAAACTAGTTTCAATCAGTGTTTTTATGGAGCTAAAAATGTCCTGATCTTAAGAAGGGGGAAAATATAAAATATTCCTGTAAAAAGAACAGATCTAAAAAGATGAAATTGTGAATATAAGTTTTATGGAACATTGCAAGTGGACACGTTTTCTATTTTAAGACTTCATTATTTTCCAGACAATTTATGCAGTTGATGTGGTGAACTGTGATGATTACTAAAATTTATGGTTGATCCATGAATCTTTCTAATTTTAATATGCAACACCTGCTTTATTAAATACTCGTTTTGTATTCATTCTATCAGATCATGTTGTCTTGCTTTTTTAATGCTAGTTTTACAACTACCAGCACAATGGGAAAAAGAAGTATGAGCCCTATTCAAGAGGAAGCTTGCTCTGATGATATGGAAGAGAGAGAAATCCAAGGCACAGAGCTTGATGAAACAGATTGCTATGCAGAGTGTGTTCCAGAGGGAAGGAAGAGAGCCAAAAAGTTCAAAAAAGTCAAGGAAGAGCAAGATCCAACAGGTAAGAACTCTGAAGCTAAGAGTTCATTTCTATCCTTTTTCCAGTTAGACCCACCTTAACCCTAAACAGGGTACAAGTTGTCTTTTGAGTGTTAAACATTCCTTACATATATATTCCATATATATCTTAAGGTAGTGTTTTAATTTAAAGCCCATTTTGAATTGCAGACTGTGGGATTGCATTGATCAATGTTGGAAAAAAAAATGCCACAAGATAGAAACCTGAAATATCTGTCACCTAGATTTTGGGGCCTGAAAGAACTGGAGAAGTAGAGTTGGTCATTTACTAGGATAACTTGCCGTTATAAAATAAAGGCCTCTGAGGGGATAATTTTGGTCATTTTGAGGCCTAGTGTGACCCTTGCACTTTCTTGACAGCTATGGTCATCTTAGCACCCTTTTTGTTATGGTATCAGAATTTGAAAATTCTGGTACTTGAAGCATGATTCTTCAGTTTTTCCCTAGTCGGTCCAGGAAATCTTCTGTGCATATTGTAAGACTTACTAGTTATGCAAACCTCTTGTTCTAGGTTCTTGGCTTGAGAGGATGAACTCTTATTTGTTGCATTGACACAATATAGGTTGACACATCATTGGCTGCCTTTTGTTAGCTGGTCTTCTATATTGATTGAAAATATTCTCAGCTTTTAATAAATCTGCCAGCTTCTCTGAACTATTTTAAAATATTATTTAGCGCTTAAATACAGTTTTAAATGTTCAAAGCACTGCACAAATGTTAACTGATTTCTTAAAATAGCATGGAAGGTAGGTTAAAAAAAATAGCATGTTACAGATGTGAAAACTGAGTTAGATAAATGAAGGGACTTTCATAATGTCTCATAAAAGCTTATGATATATAATGTATTTGTTAGTCTCTAAGGTGGTATAGCACTCCTAGTTGTTTTTTCACATCAGGTCAGTCATCTGAACTTGAGGTTTTCTGAATCTCCAACCTTGAACTCTATATTCCACACCATATTGTCCACCTCACAAAATATCCTTCAATTGGAGCACGTGGGTACACATTGTTGATCATGTTTAGTTTCCCATAATTTGAACCAGGTCATCCATAAAGATACTACATGTTCCCTCCCTATTTCCTAAAATGGCAGTGCTGATTTAATATAAGCAAACTCAGAAACTGGCTTAAAGAAGCATCTTTCCTCTCTGTCAGCAGGTAGAAGACCTCTTCACATTTTGAGCATAGTGAAGTGGGTGTTATGTTATAAACTTTTTTCTTATTACTCTGAATAAAAATTTAGAGCCCAGTAAAATATTAAATGGTAAATTTGTTACAAAGCTGCAGCACTTTAATTTGGAGTAAAAATGTGCCTTATTAAAAATATTCCTCTTTCTCTGTCTCGTAATAAACATGTTTAAGTAACTTCTGTTTTTAGGTATTTGCAATCAATTATGGATTTATTTGATAGTCTCTGGGATTAATGTAGTGTTGGGCACTTCATGAAGGCTTAAGAGCCTGTTCACAAATAGGATCAATACTAGATGACCTCCTCATTCGTTGTGTGCACTTACCTTTTGTTAATTAAGGGAACAAGAGTACTTCTTTCAAAGGCAGTAGGGCTGCTGAACTGACTTGCAAAGTTTGGATATTAATAGCAGGTAATGAGTGTGTTTGTTTGCATGTACCTCTTACAAAGGAAGGTATATCGTAAGCTTATAGCGATATTGTTACTTTTGTGCTTTAAGGAACAAATCCAGCAGATGAATCTAGATGAAGCAGTAAAGTTAGAAAAATTAGGAATTGTGACAGAACCTTCCTATACAGCCTTGGTGTCATCCATTGTACTTTTTTCTTTTTATAGATATGTTTGCAGCATATAAAATATAATTGTTAAATGTAAGAAGTAATAAAGACTTTTTTCCATATTCATCCTATCAGAATTACTTAGTTTGAAACCTAACTAAGCCACTATTGCTTTGTTTTCCATATTAGTACTGGACAATCATCTGAACTGGTAGAATCTATGGACATAATTTAACCGTGGTAAACATGTCAGATCTAAACTTAGCTGGAACCTTAACAGTCGTGATGTGCACACATTTTTGCTTAACTTTTATGCAGGTGTCACATCATTACACACTTGAAAGGCAGAGTGCACTATTATGAGTATACTGGATGAAAGTAAAATGAAATATAGTCGTGGAAAGGAAATACTATTTTCTTAGTTAAGAGAACACTGCTAATGAGTTTATTCAATAACTGTACAATTTTAGTCACAGATGGCATGCCAAAATTTTCACATCATCAGAGGTTCAAGCTTTGCATATTAATCACTTTGCTTAGTGAGTAGCTTTGTGCAAATGACCTACAGTTTAAACAACTCTTTAGGTTGTATGTACAGTGTATCAAAAAGCTTTTAGGGGCCAGTACCATATTAAATACCACCCTTGATTGCTAAAGGAACTAAATGTAAGCTACCAGTGTTATGATGCTCTCATATCTGTTGGAAAGTAGAGGATGAGTAGAACATTTTAGAAAATCCACTTAATTGTAGGTTGCACAAAATCTTTTTGGTTATATACTGCCAAATTCTGGATTTGTTGAAACCGTAAAAGAGCACTTTGTTTTACCATGTAATGTAGGTATGTATGTCTTCCTTGTCTTGATATGAAGAAGTGTAAATTGAAAGTCAATTGTATTTGTGAAAAAAGACAAAAATAAATCAAAATCAACCTTTCCATGCCTCCAAAATAAGCCTAGTGCTCTGTTTAAATGAACATATCTTGTGATCTGTCTGCATCTTCCATATGGGCTCTGTTACAACTAGTTTTTATTCTAATTTGCATCTCACACTCTATAGCACAAGGTAACTTAGGCTGTGTCTGCTCTTAAAACATTATAGTTGAAGAACTGCAGTGCTGCAGATGTTTGCTTCAGTGTATATCAGAGTTGTTGACTTGAGTCCGACTTAAGTCGCCTAGGCGACTCGACTTGAGACTCAACTCGGATTCATGGTGTGTGACTTGAGACTCGCTAATTTTGTTAAATGGACTTTTTAAAAAAATTGTCAATGCCGATATTGATGGCTTGTACAAAAGTGACTTGACATTTTTTAAATTAAGACTTGAGACTCGACTTGAGACTTGACTCGAAAGTGACTTTAGGGACTCGAGACTCGACTTGAGACTTAAACTGTAGTGACTTGAGATTCGACTTGGACTTGACAATGATGACTTGAAGACAACACTGGTGTATATATATTGAATGCCACAGTTTCCAGTAGGTAATCCACCTCTCCAGTTGCCTATTACGTATATATCAATCAGATTTCTTCTATCAACCTAGTGTTGCCTATACTTGGTGTTAGTCGACTTAATTATGTCTTATGAGGGTGTGGATTTTTCCTACCCCAAGGAACGAAGCTATGCTCGTATAGACCAGCCCTTTATATGGGTGTTCTTTCATTTGTTTTGCATATTAATGCTTTATGATTTCCACAATTTGAGTGTTTTGAAGTAAAGGTTTGAATTAGCTTGCTAGAGAACAGATTTTTGGCTTTTCAAACATCTTGTGAGTTATTTAGATATATTTGCAGGTTCATTTTTGAGCTAGTCACAATTATAATTTGATTATTAGTAATTTGGAGTGAGTGGGTCTTTCTCTGCTGATGGTGATGTAGTCTCATATTATTGCATATTACATGCAGTTATAGGGGGTACTCACTGGCAAAGCTTCTTGTTCCACTCTAGTAGCTGGTTCATGTAGAAGATAATCTACTATCATTTACTTTTTTAATTCAAGTGATAGAGGCTTATGCTGTATACCTAAAGCAGTGATACTCTGAACTCAGTGGTTCAAGTGCCAGATTAGTGATCAGCATTACCTAGGGGAGCCAAAATAGCATGAATTCATTGCTCTTTTTTGAGTGCTTGCTCATGTCCATTCCACTAGGTGTGTGTGTGTGCACCATTATCGGAAAGATTTCCCTAGCAGTATCTGTCGGGTGAGCTGTGTGTAGCCCCCTGGAGTGGTGCCGGTATGCCCGCTCATTTCCTTCTTACTTCCAGTGACAGTCATTTGAGCGACTCCCTTTTGCAGTGCAAGTGCTAGCCGAGTGGTCTTTTTCCCAGATAGTTTTTGTTCTTGTTATGGTTAGTTATAAGTAGTGCAGTTACTGTTAGTTACTTTTTGAACTTGGGAGTTTCCCCTCACATTTTATTTCCTGGGCTGGGACATGTCACAGTTGCAGAAGTTTATGTCCTGTGCAAGCTTGTGAAGTTTATGCCCAAGGGAGATCCACCCAAACTTGCCTCAAGTGTCCCATTTGTTGGAGCTTCAGACCCAGAAGCAAAAAGGAGAGAAACAATTCTCTCAAGGTCCTTTTCATGGAGGCAGCACTGTGGCCTGAACCAGCAGAACCGGCATCAATGACATTCAACATCGCACCGGAATTGGTACAATATCTCTTGGTGCTAAAGTTGTATTTTTCTCATAGGCACCAACACCGCTCCCTGGCACATCAACTCTGGCTCCATGAATGAGTGTGTCAAGCCCAGTGCTAGTGGACTTACCCATCAGGGTGGCTTGGAGGATGTCCTTGATCTTCCCTCCATGCTTGACACATTCAAGGTTGCATGCAATCTCATTGAAATGATAGCAGCGTGCAGAGCCACTTCCTTCCACCTGCAAGCTTGATCTATACTGTGATGCTTGCCCTCCCCTTCCTAGCCCTCCCCCCCCCCCCCCCCCGCGAGGGGCATCCAACCTCACAGGCAGGGGCACAGGGCTGGAGCCCTCCCACAGATATCCCCTTGCAGGTGTGGGGGGAGCTATGAGCCCACAGACCACACTTTAAGAACCACTGCCCTACAGGCATTGCTCTCCAGGGCTGCAGGAG